GGTAAATTAATTCTCAGCTATTTGGTTGAACGTTTACCCTGCACGTCTGGACAATTAAAAGTGGGGTACGTTGCGTCGTTCTGTTAACAGATATTTTCGTTTGTATAGGGAGCACTTAGCACGGAGGATGATTATCGAGCGCTTTACCGTTTGAAGGTATACACCGTATAATTACTAGGCGCATAGCGCGCAATCCGATCGCACTTAACCAACACATTTTCATCCTTTCTGAAGTTGAATTTATACTTAGGAGATGAAGGCGCGTATTTTTACCTGCTTATTCAGGAACTTTCTGTCCAGTGAATACATCAACACAACTTTTGGCCACGGGGCGGGACATTACTTAAGCTTTCGACCCTATAGGCTGTCGAGGGGCAGTTCTAGCCAAACGTTTAGATTTCGTGATGTGCTTGTTAGACTTTAATCTCTTCCCGATGCAACTGCGTTCTCGCCTCAAAGTCAATCAGATAAAGTCTCTGCCGATTGTGCACTTCTACGAATTTGACGTGCCAGCATATCATTTTCCACCAACGAAAACGTATTGCGCGTTTGCAGTAAAGAGTGGACGCGATGTTTTTCTCCCATCTACAGTAGGACGCTAGGGATTACTAAAAAGACGCGGAAGTCGAAAACGACTGAAAACACTAATTCTGTAAAAAAAACAAACTTCGAATACGAGGTTGCATTAGAAACAGCACGTGCAACCACATATAAACCTGTTTGATTTGCATTTACTTGCTTCTGGCAATTTTTTTGCGACTCCAATGCGACTATGGTTCTACGTTAAATTTGGTACTGTTTGCTTCAGAAACCGAAAATACATATTTTTTTGTAGCTGACACGCGTTGGGTGTGAGGTTTTTTTTATTGCTAACCAACTACGACTGACGCGAAGACCTGACATCGATGCTTGTCGGCATACATACCGCAACTCTAAAAGACAGACAACCGGCAGTTGTTACGGCGTTAACATTTAAAGATAGAAAAGCAGTACTTGGCAAGGAGAAACATACTTGCGGTATCGGGTGGCCGTAATGGCTGCTGAAAAAAACCAAAACAATACTTTATCTTAATATTCGGCGCCCTGTTGGCGGCTCCCATTCGCTGAGCTGCGTGGCAACACTATTTCTGTTGCCTGCTTTGAAGTAACTTGAAAGCAAACTATGCAGTTACTCAGGGGTATATTCATTTATTTCTGATCTAAGATAAGAGAGACTGCTCACAGAAGCAAATCCCAACACCGGCTGCTCTTGACAACAGGAAAAGGCGGGGTAGAAATGTATCCTTAAATATTCTATTGACACACAGTTA